CATTCTTAGCGATTCTTTCTTGTATAAATACTCACTCATGTAAATTATTCAAGATCAATATACAAAAACTTCTTTTCAATATGGTATCAAGAGCGGGTTCGTTCCTACCCTAATTCAAATCTGAAATAACCATCCAAACACTTCTATCACCGTCAAACACCTCCTAAACACCTCCTTGAATCTGTCCAACACAGAAACCTAGTCTACTGACCTCCGATCAAGAAAGTGAGGTGACCATTCGACTCAGAAGGATCCGACGAGTCGACCGCCGCTGGACCCATCGCCGTTAACCGCCGCACGCGCCGTCACACGCGCGGCCAGTCTCCGGCGCGTGAGCTCCACGCGCCGCCTTCCCAACGTCTTTTTCCGCTGCGACTTGCACAGACCTTCTCGCCGGCTTCTCCCCTTCCTGTTCCAGAGGTCAGATAAAAAATTTACAAAACTTGATTTTTCATCAATGGTCAACCCTTCTCTTTCTATTCATGGCTTCCTCAAAACACTCTTCCGCCTCCTCATCTGCCCCAAATTCTCAGTCCTCTGGAGACAACTTAGGTTTGCAGATCACCAATCACCGGTTGAACGGTAAGAATTTTCTGCAATGGTTTCAATCAGTTAAGTTGGTCATCCTGGCAAAGGGTAAGATGGGCTATCTTGAGGGAAGAATTAAGAAACCTACTGAGAATTCTCCTGATTATGACGATTGGGAGATTAATAATTCCTTGGTCATAGCTTGGCTCACTAATTCCATGGAACCACAGATTGGCCAAACCTATCTGTTCTTTGATACTGCCAAGGAAATTTGGGATGCTGTTCAACAGAATTACTCCGATCTGGACCTCTCAAGTTTTTGAACTGAGAAATAAGTTGAGAGACTTTCGTCAAAGGGGTATGACTGTTACTGAATATTTTACTGCACTAACGAATTTATGCCAGGAATTGGATCTTTATTATGCATCTAATCTTAAGGGATTGGAAGCTAATACCCAATTTAAAAAACACTTGGAGAAGGAGAGACTGTATGATTTCCTTGCTGGACTCAACCGAGATCTTGATGAGGTTCGTGGTCGAATATTGGGGCAGCGACCGTTACCTTCACTTGCTGACGCCTTTGCTGAAGTTCGTCGAGAAGCCAGTAGACAGAGAGTTATGCTGGGAGAAAATGAGTCGCTTGATAAGCCTGATGATATGTCTGCATTAGCTGCCAACCGTACCATTGACCGTTCCTCCGGAGAATCAAAACGGGATGGTCGTCCATGGTGCACCCACTGCAATAAAATTGGTCATACCCGTGAGAAATGTTGGGAAATCCACGGGAAACCTGCAAATTGGAAGCCCAAAGGACAAAATAAAGGTCGTGCATATCAGGTCTCTACTGATGACAAGGTTGATGAGCCTCATGCATCCTCTGAATCTGATGGTGTCTTTCTTAGCAAGAATCAGTTTGAACAACTTCAGAGACATTTGACTCAACCTCCTAAGGCCACTAGTCATGTGGTCCAGCAAGGTACAGCTTTCCATGTTGATAGTCAAAATCATTGGATCCTTGATTCTGGAGCCTCTGATCATATGATAGGTAATCTTGGCTTGTTTTGTTCATACACTATATTCTGAACCTTCTCGGGTCAAGATCGCCGATGGCAGTTTTTCCCAGATTGCGGGACACGGAACCATTAAACTTTCTGAGCTGATTACTTTGACATCAGTTCTTTATGTTCCTTCTCTGACTTGTAATCTCATTTCCATTAGCAAGCTCACCTCTGAGTTGCATTGCTTTGCTAAATTCTTTCCACATGGTTGTGTTTTTCAGGAACAGGACTCGGAGATGATGATTGGCAGTGCTAGAGAGGATGGTGGACTTTACTACTTTGAGGAGGATGTGACTCATGAAGCTGTTTTCGTAGAAAAAAACTCTATGTTTCCTTTTGATTCATGTAATGATGTTATGCTGTGGCATCGTAGGCTAGGCCATCCAAATTTTATTTATCTTCAGAAGTTGTTGCCAAACTTATTTATTAATAAAAGTCCAAGTTTGTTTTCTTGTGATATTTGTCAACTTGCCAAGTATACTCGTGCTCATTATCCTTCTAAAGTTCACCATGACTCTTCCCCATTTTCCTTAATTCATAGTGACATATGGGGTCCAGCCCGTGTTAAAAATATTTCAGGTACTCGATGGTTCATTACCTTCATTGATGACCATTCTCGAGTCTGTTGGGTGTATCTTCTAAAGGATAAGTCCGATGCTGCATCTGTGTTTAAAAAATTTCATGCCATGGTTCAAACCCAATTCCAAGTTGCTATACAAATTCTTCGTACAGGTAATGGCAAAGAGTATTTTAACTCTATTCTTGGAGAATATCTTTCCTAACATGGCATCCTTCACCAAAGCTCGTTCCTAACACATCCCAACAAAACGGAGTTGCGGAAAGAAAAAACCGACATCTCCTTGAAGTTGCTCGGGCTCTTATGTTTACCACGAGTGTTCCTAAATATCTTTGGGGAGAGGCAGGCCTCGTATATGATAAATCGAATGCCATCTCGCATTCTGAAATTTCAGTCTCCTCTTTCTAGTCTTGTTCGTATCTTCCCTTCCTTCCGAGGTGTCTCCTCCTTACCTCTCAAGTTATTTAGTTGCGTTGTATTTGTCCATATTCCCTCCCATCAACGGTCTAAGCTTGATCCTAAGTCTCTTCAGTGTGTCTTTATTGGTTATTCTCCTACTCAACGTGGCTATAAATGTTATTCACCCTCTTTTCGTAAGGTCTTTGTCTCTATGGATGTCACTTTTTCTGAGAATGACCCTTTCTTCCCCTCGACTTCTCTTCAGGGGGAGTCTATAGGAGTAGATGAAGATCAGTCATGGGAACCTACTGATGCCACGGTATTACCTCTATTTTTGGAAACAGGGGGAGCTACAGAATCCTCACCATCAAGAGCCTCCTCAAAATGGGGACAAGTTTATAGCAGGCGAAAGCCTCCTCAAAGTGTGAATAACCCAGAGCCTCTACACTGCCAGGATTCTGAACCATGTTCTAGTTCCAGCACCCCAATACTTGAGTGTCATGGTGAAAATGATCTACACTTGCCCATTGCTCTCAGAAAAGGTACTCGATCTTGTACTACTCATCCTATTTCTAATCATATTTCATACGGAAAGTTGTCCCCAGGGTTTCGTGCTTTCAATACTATGTTGGATAGTACAAAGATACCGAGAAATATACACGAGGCTCTCAATGATCAAAAATGGAGGGATGCTGTCTTTGAAGAAATGAATGCTTTAGAAAGAAATGGAACTTGGGAGATAGTGACCTTACCCAAAGGAAAACAGGCAGTAGGGTGCAAATGAGTGTTTACAATAAAATTCAATGCAGATAATAGCATCAACAGATACAAGGCAAGATTGGTTGCAAAGGGTTTCACTCAGACTCATGGGATAGATTATCATGAGACTTTTGCTCCGGTTGCTAAAGTCAATACCATCCGAGTTCTCTTATCTCTTGCTGCCAATCTAGATTGGCCTCTGCAATAGTTAGATGTGAAGAATGCATTCCTAAATGGTGACTTACATGAAGAAGTCTATATGGATCCTCCACCTGGTTTTGAAAAGGGAAATGGATCAGTGTGTAAACTAAAAAAGTCTCTATATGGATTGAAACAATCTCCCAGAGAATGGTTCGACAAATTCTCACAAGCAGTCAAAAGAAGAGGCTTCATTCAAGCACAGACTGATTATACTCTCTTCCACAAACACTCTAAGGATGGTAAAATTGCTATTCTTATTGTATATGTAGATGATATAGTTCTTACAGGTGATGATATTGAGGAATTGAACACCTTGAAGAAATTTCTAGCATTGAACTCAAAGACCTTGGCACTCTCAAATATTTCCTTGGTATGGAAGTTGCTAGGAGCAAAACAGGCATCACTCTAACACAAAAGAAATATGTTCTAGATCTTTTGTTGGAAACAGGAATGTTAGGGTGTAAACCTACTGAGACACCTGTGGAACCTAATACCAAGTTAGGTATTGAAGATGGGAATGAGGTGGATAAAGAACAATATCAGCGATTGGTTGGTAAACTAATGGCTAAATTACATAAAACCACCTTGTATTTAGGTGGTGTTTCAAAAAACCACCCTAAACTTTAGATTGATGCAATTAACCCACCTGCACTATCTTATTCCAACAATTAAAAATATCCATTAACTTTACATTAAACGCCGTTAAGTAAATATTAAACACCCTTGAGTAATCCGGTGCATATGAGTAATTATTCGAAGGTTTTTCAAATTCCTTTTTGCCATTAATCTATTCTCTTCTCCAACACTAACATTTCAAGATTTTTATGTTAGACCCTTCTTTATAGACCGAGGAAGCAAAAAAAAAAAAAACCTTAACCCCAACTCCTTCTCAACTCCACTGTTCAGCCTATTATTTGTTCCTCTATTCAGACTCAATGCTTTCTCCTATGAAAAAGTTATTTAGACAATGGTGATGTTAAAGGACTTCTATGAAAAAACTGTTCAGTTGGCGAAAAAGGTATCTATGGAAAAACTGTTCCGTTGGCGAAAAATGTATTTATTTGGTGTTTGAATTGATGAGTTCCAAGGAGAGGGAAAGGGTATGCCATTTGTTTGTCTTGATGGATTTGAATTCTGATTTGATGAGTTTCGATGCCTTCTAACACTCACCATTTTGATGCTTGGTACATGTTTGATGAAATGATTCACTGAACGTGGTTCCCAATAAGGTTACTTATAATATGTTGGTTAAGGGGTTCTGAGGTGGTTGACATAGAGGAAGCTTTTAACTTGAAAGACGATAAAGTAGAAGATTGGACTTAGGCTGCAACACAAGATTTAGTTTGGTTGTTAAGCTCAAACTGTGAGTGCAATTTCTGGTTGTTGATAACAAGAGTTGTGTAGTTTGAGACATATTTGGTTTTATTTTACACTTCTAGACTGTTGTGTAGTTTGATAAATTGAAAACTTGTATGGGTCTTGACAAGGCTCTACTGCTTCAATGTAATGTATGATTTTGAAAGATTTGAACGAGTTTGGTGAATTGATTGAAATGTATGTTGAACTGGTTGAAATACAATGTATGATTTTGAATTAATCCACCCATTTAGTTGTGGAATCTAATATAATGTTATTGATTTTGCAATATGATACTATTATTGTTGAACAATGGAATTAAAAGTTAAACATGTATTACTATAGCTGAATCAGAAGTATTCAAATGTTCTTGATTTGATTTGGACCTCTAGTATGCAGGTATTGATTTGAGTTTGTCATAACTCTTGATTTTTTTTCATATATTTTAATGCGATTTTAGGATGAACAACAATAGGCATGGAAATGGAACATCAATTTTAAGATTTTTTACTATCAAGTCAAACACAGGAACCAAGAAATACGATGCATGGAAAAGATGATGAATAATGGTGGTGAGAAAATTAGAGTTGTGTTGTGTTTACCTACTGGGTCTAAAAAAAAGGGTCCAATATTTGTAGAAAGATGGTATCAAATGCTTCAAGTTGAAGAAGAGAAGGGATTTGAGAATTTTTTTAAAACTCAGCTTATTAAACTAGATGCAGGGGATTACTTAACAACGTTTGATATAGATTTAACGGATATGCTTAATTGTTGGATTCACATAGTAATGATAGGTTAATTGTTTCAATTCAAACAAAAAGGCGGTTTTTTGAAACATCACCAAAGTACAAGGTGCTAATTTGTAATTTAGCCTAAACTAATATACTTATCTCATACGCGTCCTGACATTGCCTTTGCGGTGAGTATGATTAGTCAATTCATGCACTCACCCAAGGAGAAGCATCTTAGTGCAGTCTATAGGGTGCTTAGATACCTCAAGAATACTCCAGGAAGAGGATTATTCTTTAAAAAGGGGTATAAAAGGACAATTGAAATCTACACTGATGCAGATTGGGCAGGCTCATCAGTAGACAGGAGATCTACCTCAGGCTATTGCACCTATGTGTGGGGAAATCTTGTTACTGGGAGAAGCAAAAAGCAAACAGTGGTTGCAAGAAGTAGTGCTGAAGCAGAATTTCGAGCTTTAGCTCATGGAGTTTGTGAAGGAATCTGGTTGATAAGACTTCTTCAAGAGTTGAAGATTTCATATTCCCTACCAATAAAACTATATTGCGACAACAAGGCAGCTGTTAGCATTGCTCAAAATCCTGTGCATCATGATCGACCAAAGCACGTGGAAGTTGATCGTCACTTCATCAAAGAAAAATTAGATGATGGAAGTGCGCGTTTGATATATGTTCCAACCAAAGAGCAAACGACAGATATCCTTACCAAGGGCCTACACCGTCCAGCATTCGAAGACTTGATTGGCAAGTTGGGAATGATCAATATTTACCTCCCAATTTGAGGGGGAGTGTAGAAAATAAGAATTCAAACATGTTTCCGTTTTTATTTCCTATTAATTAGGATTGATTATGATTGATTAGGATTGATTGTGATTGATTAGAATTGTTGTGATTAGGATTGATTAGTCATCGCTTAGTCATCGCTTAGTCATTCTTAGCGATTCTTTCTTGTATAAATACTCACTCATGTAAATTATTCAAGATCAATATACAAAAACTTCTTTTCAATAATTTGTTTAATATTAATGTCCAGTTGATAATATTGCTTATGGTTCTGCAATAAAAATATTTTCTTTGGAGATAACAACTTTGCTTTACTCAAACTATTCTGTAGTTCTTTTTGTATTTAGAATTTATTTATTCATTGAGGGTGTAAATCAAAGCTATGAAGGGTTAAAAAAAGGAGAGCCTATCTGATGCCTGCACTCCTCTTGTTCAATCCATTATATGCAAATTCGTATGGATTTTGTTTCAAGCAATGTAATAGTTAAGGTGTTTTGGGTCTAATAGTGCACTGCATCACTTTAAGAATTTGTGTGATTTGAAACCATTGAATTTGTATGGTGAATCTTCCACTGGGAGTAAAGTTCCTTGTGTAACAGTACCAATATTGAATGAAAGACTGGAGAAGGGGAATGGTCAATATATATATATATATATATATATATATATATATACCTTTACTATCTTTCACATCTACTCTAGATGTATTTTTGCTTATTTCTTCACTTCTTTTTTCAGGGTGTAGATATTCAACTTGGAATGGCTATTGATAGTACCAAAGCTACTCTTGCTGTGAAGCGTAGACTTGCATGTGAGATGGTGAAATGTTGGCAACAGGTATGATAACTTGTTTCTTATGGATTCTGTACTTTACTGTTTTTGTCACTGGGGAATTGGTCTTTTTTTTTTTATATCCTAAATTTCTTATGGAATCTTTAGTTTTTTTCTCTTGGATCTGTACTGTATTGACAGCATTTTTTTCCCCTTAAGACATATCTTTGTCTCTATTTTATATACTCCATTTGTGTGTGTTGGTGAACTTATTTGTGCATTAGTTAGTCAAGGTGGGTGCTTTTGTTCAGCATACATTGCTCTGATTGCACTGTTTATTTTACAGGCTCATGATAACATTATGAACCTTCCATTAGCAAATGGTTGGGGTGAAAAACATCATCTTTTTGTGAAATGGAAATATGTTGAAGCAAAGGTATATGCTCTCCCCCCTAGTTATTTGCATCTTGGCTTTTAATTATTACATCTTACCGTACAATATTATCAATTATGATAAGAGGGTGAGTCTAGAGCAGTGGTAAAGCTGCTCTTTTGTGACTGAAAGGTTATAGATTCAAGTCCGATAAATAGTCTCTTTGTAAATATGCAAGGATAAAGCTGCGTATAAATATTTCCCTCACCCATATCCTTACTAGTTAGGGTTTAATGGCGAGTGGTTTACTGTACAATATTATGAGTAGATATGTATTTTCCTGGTTTCGTGATTACTTTATGCAAATAAATGCAGTTGAAAGCATAAATTGGTTAAAATAATTTATTTTCCTCTATATCTCTAAGATGAAGTATGGAGTTTGTGTGGAAAATTGAGTTGTTGAGGGAAATGAATCTTTATGTTTCTAGGCAGACCAATTTTGTTTGTCCCCTATTTACTTCAAAAAGTTCCCCTCCTTTGGTCCGTAAAACGCACGACTAAAGGATTAAATGGTCTTTGTTTGTGGCTTTAGGCTTAGTCCATATTTTGCTGTAGTATTTCTTAGCAGCGAGAAACGGAGTATGATTTGGATGTATGAAACAAGTTATCTGCATAGTAGCTGTGGTGCGATTGTAAATGCTTATTCATGTTTTTCTTATTTTTTATGTCTATAATCTTGTATTATGGCATGAGTACCATAGGTACAGGCCTATATGGTTTATTCTGATTTCAGCATATTTGCAAATAATTCAGAAATGAGTATGGGGGATGCATTTGGCAGAAGCAAGTGATATGCAGTTGTGATATGTTTGTTGTAATTACTTTCCAGGCTGCAGCGTATTATTATCATGGTTTGATTCTTGATGAGGGAAATACAGAGAAATCTCATGGGATGGCTGTAGCTGCTTTGCAAGCAGCAGATGAGTATTTCAAGGAAAGCAAGAAGTTGGGTGACGCGTTCAATGCGGCACCTCCATTGTCAAGGTTATCCATTATCTACCCTCTTACACACTGTTATGCTGTTATCTCCCTTCAGAAAAACAGTTTTTATTTATTTATTTTTTCCTTTTCTTTTTTCTGAAGCTTGCTGAACCTATATCTTTCTAAATAATGTGATGCCATCATTTGTTGTAACTACCTACTGTAGCTGGAATTGGCAGTGAGCTACTTAGTATGTATCTGCCAATATACACTAACCATGCACATATGGCCATTTCTTCTTATTGCAAAGATGTGCATGGCACAGGCAGGGGAATAATAAAGATCCTGGAATGCACACAACGCCTATGTGATTGTGGCTGTAGAAATACTACAATCTCATTTGTCATTATGATTTATGATGAGTAGTCATTATAAAATACTCTCTCATCTTGAACTTCAGATAACTGTGGGTTAAGTTTTTAGTTATGTAAGGCTTTTCCTGGAAAAATTGGAGTCTAGCTGGTTAAAGAAAAAGCTCATTTTGGATTGATAGCACCATATTTATGCCAATATTGATCCTTTTTGAAGTATAATTATATAATAATTGGAGTCCACATTCAGAGCATACACACTATTGGCATGTGAAGTTCTTATGCCTTTAGCAAATGAAGTACGTTCTACCAGAATTGCTTGGTGATTTAGGTATGCGAGGTGAAATATGCAATCATTATATACTATTCTAGCCATTAACCTACCAATTTCCATATTCATCATTTGTTGCCAAGAATAATAAACTATGGTCAACAGAAGTTTCTATGCCCTTGATTTGATTGAAATTGTGAAACACCTTTACTAGTTTCTGTGTGTGTGTATAAACTTACAATATCTGAGCAATATCTTAAGGATTACTTAATTCGTTCTAATAAAATTCAGGGAAAATTCTTGTGAGTCTCAAAGAAGTAATTCATTCTTCTTTTTCGTCAAAAGTAATGGCGCACCTTAGAAAGGGTAATAGTTTGAGCTTATTCTGACTAGCTGTGGGTGCATAATATGAAACCATAATATATCTACTCCTACTGCACTTCCAGTTTCTTCCTTTTCCTCCTCCATTTTAAGAGAGATTGAGTGATAAGTTGATCTTTTAAATACCCATGTTCAACTCTTTCACAAGAGCCTTTAATATTTTAAGAGCATTGTTCATTGAGAACTATCATTTCACCATGGTTTTGATATACTTATCAGCTTTTTTAGTTCTCTTCAAGAAGAGTATTATTGCTGGTCATGTGCTGTATATATGATCCATCTAACTGGAAGTCATGATGCAGAGATCCACCGCTTTGGGGGACCATGAAATATCTCTCTGAAAAAATTCCTAAGGATGCTTCAAGCAAGGTGCGAATAAACCGTGATCTGTACTCTTATGAGAGGTAAACTTTCCAGGAGTGCATGAGTAACTTGTTTTTAACTGCAATTGCATAATTATTCTTGGTTAATGAAAAAGAAGCACAATTACTAAAAAAAACCATATGTTGTCTTTTTTTATTACAGGATCATGGAGACAGCTCCAACGTTGCCTGATTTTTCCTTGGCCTTGAAACCAGATGAATATCAACTTCCTCCGGTGGACTCCTCTTGGAGTACAGAGAACATTAAAGGGGGACAAACTGATCCTAAGTTCTAACTATCTCAAGGGTCACAAATGATAAAACACATGACGTTGCAAACCTCAAAAGAAATGTTGGCCTACCTGAAAGATGCCAATCAAAGAAGGGTGTTTTTCCAATTCTTGCAAATAGAAAAAAATAAATTAGTTTATTTGAGTGTTTTTTCCCCCTACCGTGTGCCTTTTTTTGTTACTCCATATATTAATTTCTTCCCTTCGCCCACAATATTTGAAAGATACCCTGCAAACAGAGCTTCCAGTGGCATTCACTGTAAATTGTCCACTATAAAAGAAAGGGTTTCCTTGCCAATAAGAATATTACTATTTCGGATCATAGTAAAGGCTGTCACATCATCCATTTGTTAAACCAAGTTTGGATAAGTGATGGTGTGTAAAATTGACTCGTGTATTGGAAAGAAAAAATTATTTCTTTTGGGAGGCGTTTGGTAGAGGAGAAATTTTTTTTTTATCTGAAAAATAATTATTATTGAAATGTAGCGAAAAATATATTTTACTGGAATATTACCAAAAAATTATTTGGTAGACTTATATTTTTCCGAAAAAATAAAGGTTATTTTACTGAGTATGTGTTTGGTTGGTTATGAATTATTAATGGGAATGTGATGTTATTTTACCAAAATAATCTCACATTTATCTTTTGATTCAAAAATGTTTTCAGATAGATCGTACTAAAAAGTAAGGTTAATTTTGTCACATTTTTTTGCATTAATTTGAAACTTCCTCGGGTACCAAAAAAGTCCATTTAATCTATGGAACTATTCAGCTCTTGACTGTACAAAATTTTGCACATAAAAGACATTCCCAGAAAATATATTCATTCTAGAAACGATGAAAACTTTTGGTACCAAACATGGAGTTGTTACTTCTTGAAGCAAGATTTTTCGGGGATTGCAAAATTTTCCGGGTAACAAACACACCGTAAGAAGTTCCCAAATTTCCCTCTTCCCCATAATTCAAAACTCTTGTCCTTATTCCCTGTTTTGCATGTTCCAAACGGTTACATGTTGAATGTGTCTCCTATTATCTCTGATTTTAGTGCAATAGAAATTGAATCTTTTTTGTCACCCTAGAGTATTTTTTCCCTGTTTTGCATGTTCCAAACGGTTACATGTTGAATGTTTCTCCTATTTTCACTGATTTTAGTGCAATTGAATCTTTTTTGTCACCCTAGAGTATTTTTAGTGCTACTGTCACATCCAGTAATGGGTACTACTCCCATGAAAAATGAGATATCTGCATTATGGATAAATTATAGATTATACATTTCCTAGACAAAATATCATAGTTATTTTTTTTGCTCTCTTGAGATAACCCAGAGCACTTAAAATATTTTTCCCAAAAACACAGGTGATTGATGTTTTCGTTGCTTCTATCCTAAGCAATGTATAGTCATTGGATGATAATGTAAATTGGGATTCAAATTCTACGCGAGTAGCCGGCACCATCAATGTCATTAAATTTAGTAGCTCCCCATAAATCCTTAATTTGTAAAATTATACCATTATTTCTGTTGCAATTATTATTATTAAATTTGGCTAACTATTTCACTTTTCCTTAGGCAAAGAATATATTTTTGTCTCCTTAACTTTACATAGTTATTTAATTTACGGGGAAAGTTATATTTACAAAATTTTTGTTTACAAATTCTTACCTACTATACTAAGCATGACCGATCATATTTCAATTAAGAGTATATGATCGGTCATACTTAAGTGTAATTTGTAAAAAAAATTATAAACGGTTATATTCTAATTATCTTTAATTTTAAAATTCAAAATCACATGCACGTGTAATAGAGACTAAAATGGGATCCAAAATCACATACATGCTTTTGTTTCTCTGTTTCAACTACATTGTGGGGACGACCCCTTCATGATTGACATCCCTGTCAAACATGAAAACGGTGTCTTCAGGGGACATGGAATCGCCGACCTCAACGGCAAAATCGTTGCCACAACGTCGTCGAGGTAATCTTCCTCGTGTTGACAAGCTCGTCTATGTAGTAATCTTCCTTCTTAGCTTCTTTCTGCTATTATGTTCATGAATGGAATCCTATGAATCGTAGGTACAACAAACCTGAGGTTGGTGACATCGTTATAGGTCGTGCTGTCGAGGTACTCTTTTATAGTATCAATATTCAATGGTTTAGCTGAATTTGTTTGAAAATTGTAACTTGCTTGTTATTGCTGTTCTTTCACTTTCATCATCTTAAGTTGCCTTTTATACCAGTTTTCTACGTATTAACCTATAAATTAAGTTTATTTTTTAATTCCATCTGCCAACAAATCAACTTGTAAAAAACACCAAGGGCGTTTGTTAGTGGAATTTTTTTTATTTGAGAATCACGATTCTCAAGAATATGGTGGAAAATTGACTTTTCCGAAAATGTTATAAAAAAGCTGTTTGGCATGTTCGATCAATTTTACTTATGTTATGTTTGATTGATTGTAAAATATTATTAGAAGTGTGTTAAATTTTCCATTTTCCTGAAAATCCAAGAATACCACCTTTGATGTTATTCTTGATTAAATTTTGCTCACAAAATAAAATCCCGAGAAAATTACATTCGTGAGAAAATTTTCAAAAATCCTCTACCAAACTTGGTTATCTTAGATTACCATATTCAGTTTTCCGAAAATATAAGCAAAAACACTCTACCAAACACCCCCAAAGTAGTAATAACACAAGATTTTCAGTGAAAAATTCAACTGAAAAAAAAATCACCGAAAAGCTCATATAAATCTACTAAAAATAGCTAGTGTTACAAAAATTATCTTCCCGAGAAAATTTTACTATTACGTTCTCTAACTCCCTCACTTTAAAAATATTCTAACTTAAGCCTTATTTCTAAACTCTCTAAGGGGGCATTTGGTTAAGGAGAAAATTTATGAATAATAGAGAAATGTTATTACTAGGGAAATGGTTGGGAAGTGAGTTTGGTAGAAAAATGTAAAAAAAGTTGTTTGGTTGGAAAAAATTTTACCAGGAAAATTAGATAAATTTTAAAAAGTCTATGTTTGGTTTTAGGTAAAATATAGATGGGAAAAAAAGTTGCTATTACGAAAATAACCCTGTTTTTAAATTTTTTTGAATAAGACATGGTACCCTTTTACCTTTACCCGTAAACTGGGTTATCATTTGTGGGTTGGACATTTCCCAACGTCCATATCTAAAAAAAGTTTGTGATCTCTGTCTTTGGAATTGATCTGTCAAGGTTTGCGGTAAGCAACCATCACAAGGGGCACCTCGAGACCGTGTTCCAGAGACTCAATGAACGCAGACAAAGAAGGTGGAGGTTTTGCTGCATTGCACCGGTGTTGTAGACGTTAGGGTTCGACTTCCAAGCTGGCACCGTAAGGAAAGAAAAGGCATGTTATATCCTTTCATGTTAGAGATAAAAAATGTTGCTCTGTGACATGAGGTATGCTCATCGTTGTTTCTTCTATTTGGTTATGGGTATTATTGTTGTTGGGGTCCAAAAATGGTGTTGAAAATGTAAAAAATTTTAAGTCATCCGTTTCCTCGGTTTTGTGTGGGCGTGTGAAATGGTGTTCTTGTTTCTGAATAATGCTAAAAAAAACATGCTACTGTAAACAAATGTTTCCATGGAGGGTACGCATGTATGAAATTTAAAGATTTTTTTTCAAACCTTGTGATAAACCCGTTATTGAAACTTTTTTTGTAGGTGTATCTTTGTTCATACAGTGTTGGATGTTACTAAATACATTTGTGTTGGTTTTTTGCGTATAAGGTGAACTGAATTGGCGAGCTGTCTCTGCGGCAGTAACCAAAATAGAAAGTGACTCGTGGGAGGAGTTTTGGAACCAATAACAGTAGGACCATTGACGGAAGCATGGGTGGATGTGGGTCTGGCATAGGTGAAGGTGAAAGCGTCATTTCTAGGCATTCTTCGTCCTTATCCCCTTCCAGGGTGAAGATGTGCTATTGTGGAGTGCCGGCTGCGTTGCGTATATCTCAGACACCAAGGAATCCGGGAAGACAATTTCTTGGATGTCCTAATTTCAGAACACAACATGATTGCCATTTTTTTGAGTGGTTTGAAGAACCGCGTTGCCACAATTGTATGAAGTTAGAGAAATTGATGAAATTACAGGGTGTTTTGCTAATTGTAATGGTTATAACATTTGGGATCATCATGACTGCAATGTTTATATTTCGTTGACTTGTATTGTAATGGTAAGGTACATGTGTTGCATGACCATATTTGTAGTTATGTTGTGTGGAGTTGTAATTTAGAGGAACCCTCGACGTGGATGTTGTTGATGTAGCATTTTATCTTTTGAAATTATATGTACTTTGTGTTTCTCAGAAGTATTTTGTATGATGTTTGTCTGTTAAATATGTCATTTATCAATGTCATGAATTGTTGATGTAGTTATGTTTGTCTTTTATCTTACTTTATGATTTGGGTGAATTGGATGAAGCCTTTTTTTTTTTTGTATCAACCATGGACAAGCTGACTCTTCAATTGTTGAAGACCAAAAACTACTTCCTTTTAGCACTCCAACAGAAAAAGACAAGTAAATAAATTTACTTTTTGCTTGTTGTCAATTGCAGAAATGACTTACACCTCCACTTTTGTTTTGCATTCCATTTTGACAGATTGTCTGAGGTGGTGGTTTGTTTGAGTCAGTGCAAAAGCAATATGTGCAGGTGATAGTTAACAGTGAAACAGGTGATCCTGAATACAAGGACAACAGTGGTGACCATTTAAGGACCCATAATTTGGCTAGAGCCCTTGCAGATTGTTGGTTTTCTCTTACCATCATCAATCATTCACTTGTTGTGGAAAACAAGCTGTATTGTTTTCGTAGTACAAGGTAAAGTGTGCTAGTTCTCTTTTACTTTTGGAAAATTGGTTTCTATTTTTGGTTTGGCTCTTTTTTTGCAATGTATCGATGGTGATTATGTTCTTTTATCGAATGCATATGGTGGGGTTGGTAACTGAGTTGAGAAGGCTGGTGTGAGAAATTCAATGAGGGAGAATAGAATTGTCAAGGAGCCTGGCCTTAGTTTGGTTCATGTTGATAAAGAGGTTCATGAGTTTGTATCAGGTGATAATTCTCATCCACAATGAGAGGAGATTACGAAATTTTTAGGAACAGTGATAGTTCACTGTAACAGCCAGAGGTTACACTTACCATACACGTCCACTGTGCTGCTTGATATTCAAGAGGAAGAGAAAGAGCATTGTCTGGGTTATCATAGTGAGAAATTGGCAGTGGCTTATGTGCTTCTTTATCATAGGGATAGAAGGACCATTAGGGTCATTAAGAATGTTATGATTTTTGGTAAATCATGCTAGTTCAAATGTGAAATGAAAATGATATGTTTACTGCTTCATTTATCTGAACCAATGATTTATTTCAACCCTTTTATTCAATAGTTTCTACCAACGATATCATTCATGCAATGTCAATTTCTGTAGA